ATCTAATAGTAGAGATTAAAAAAAAAAAAAAAAAAAGAATATGAAACTGAAGGAACGTAGAGTCCAAAGAACAAAAACAAGAAACCTTCAGCAACTTCATCTCCATTTCATTTAAAAATAAAAACATACAAAGAACAAATATACAAAATCCACTGGACTTCTTCTCTATACTACAAAGAATGATTGCAAGTTGAAAGGAAAAAACATTAACGCTAGCAGTACCTACATAAACCATCTAGGGATTAATTAACAACAGATGCACAAGACCTATACGATGAAAATTACAAATACTGCTGAGCGAAACTGAAGACGACCTAAATACACGGGAGATAGATATCCACGTTCACGGATTAAAAGGCTTGAATTATTAAGATGTTAAACGACCCCAATTGATCTAAAGATTCAATGCAAGCCCAGTCAAAATCCCAGCAGGTAATTTTGCAGAGATTGACAAGTTGATTCTAAAATTATCATGAAAACACAGAGCCAAAGCAATCTGAAAAACAGAATGAAATTGGAGAAGCTAAATTACACATTTTCAAGACTTACTGTGAAACCATGGGAATCAAAATCAGACAAAGCATAAAGATAGAAATATAGATTAATAGAACTACACAGAGGCCAAAAATGACTCCCACATTCAGGGACAATTAGTTTCCTACAAAGAGGCCAATATAAGTTAGTGGGGGAAAGGAAAGTCTCTTTTGTTTTGTTTTGTTTTTCGAGACAGGTTTTCTCTGTGTCGCCCTGGCTGTTCTGGAACTCACTCTGTAGATCAGGCTGGCCTGGAACTCACAGAGATCCACCTGTCTCTGCCTCCCAAGTGCTAGGATTAAATACATGCACGCACCCATGGAAAGGAAATTCTTTTAAGTAGATGGCAGTGGAAAAATAGCACATCCATTTGCAGAAGCTGCGCCTGGGCTCTGGCCCTTACCTTGGATCAATGTGACTAAAACACAAACTCAAAACTAGAAACTGTTCAGCAAAAGACATTGTCAGAAAAATGAAAACACAAGGCACACCCTGGGAAGAAGCAACTATAAAAAGCAGGGCATGGTGGCTTGTGATCCTAAATCTGAGAGGCTAAGTCAGGCAAGAGGATTGCTGGGAACTTGAGTCTGGGTTGTACATAGTGAGTTGCAGGACTCTTGGACTACAGAGTGAGACCCTGACTCATTCAGACCATGAAACGGCCTCATAACAAGCAGTGTGCACCTATAATCCCAACACTAAGGAAGCAAAGTGCAAGAATTGCCACTAGTCTGAGGTACCACAAGATCCTGCTCCAAAAAACCAACATGCTTGCAAACATACACCTGTGTCTATAAAGAGCTCTTATAATTTTGTAATAAGATAAACAGCCCAAATAAAAATAAATACTGAACACAGACTTCACTGAACACAGATTTCACCATATGAACATATCATCATATGAAAAGATGCTCAGAGGATCAGGGAGATGATTCAGTAGACAAAGGTGTCTGCTGCCAGGCCTGAGGACCTGAGTTCAATGCCCGGACCCCACATGTTGGAAGAGAGAACCACCTCCCAAAAGTTGTCCTCTGACCTCCATATGAGTGCTGTGGCACAACTCCACTCCTCCCCATGCACGTGTACACACACACACACACACACACACACACACACACACACACACACACACAAATAAATAAGTGTAATCTTTAAGTTATTAATTTATGTTATATGTATGAGTGTTTTGCCTGTATGAATGTTTGTGCACCACATGTGTGCCTGGTGCCCACAGAGGCCAGAAAAGGGTGTCAGATCTGTTGGAACTAGAGTTACAGACAGTTGTGATCCACCAATAAATGTAATTTTAAAAGAAGTCCTGCAGGATTAGTCACTAGACAGCTGCCAATTAGAACCAGGTTACCGCTCTACACTTAGTCAGCGGCTAAAGTTAGAGAAGACTAACAGACCAAATGGCGGTGGAGATGCGGGACTCTTCCCCATATTGCTAGTCGGAATCCAGAATCAAAAGGAAAGCCATCTGAAAAATATTGGGCAGTTCCTTACAAACATGCTCATCCATATGATGTGGTAAACATCTTTTCCAGCATTTACTCAAAAGAAATAAAAAATATCCACATAAACAGCTAAATATAAATGTTCTCAGGAACCCCAAACTGGTAATAGCTTAATAACTGGGAATCACTAAAACAAACTGTGGCACACCCAACAGTATACTTCTCCTCGGTGAGAGGAACAGATGGCCAGATGTGGAAGAACACAGAGGAATCTCACAAAGGCAACAGTAGCAAGCTAAAGAAAAAAGGCAGATGCAAAAGAGCTCATACCATGACATTCCAAAACCATCGTGGCAGAAACAAGATGGGGGAGGAGGG